ACAATGTCCACTCACCCTCCTGCCCTAGCCCCTAGCAGATGTATCACACACAGCACAGCGTACAGTACACAACCTGAAATCCGTTGCCAGTCCAGAAATCGCTAAGGTGGCACGTTGAAATCCTGAAAACGCGGAGGGGGATCCGAGGGGAAATGTCAAATTCTGATGAAATCCCAGAAATCTTCAAGGAAATCCCACAAACATCTCAGGAAATCTAGAAATCTCTCTGGAAGTCTGGAAATCTTTCGCTAAATTACAAATCTCGTACGCTTGCGGAGTAAGTGGCAGACCCCTCGGTCGAGGCAGCCAGTGCGAGGCGACTATGGCCAAGCAGCAAGGAAAATTAACGTCTTTCTAGCAGTGTTGATGAGTGAGAGCTCATTGCTGAAGAATGATTTACAACCAGCCACGAAGCAGACTAAACATCGAGAGAGTGGATTCGATTAGAGCTGGCAGGAGGAATTTGCGTGGGTTCTTGTTGACGACGATAAAGATCACCAAAGTATGTACTATTCGCTCCATGGATCAAAATACCCTGCCGTCTTTTTCGAAAGGGCAAACTTCTTCAACATCAATGGTCCAAGTGTCACATGGACTCTATCTTCGCTCAAGGGTTAGGGGGGGTATTACATCAGCTCTACGGGAGCGGGTTTGTTTCTTTGCAGGCTGTAATCAGTGCTCTGAAGTGTCTTTACTGGCTCGTAAAAGAGGAGGTAGCACACCACACGAAACATTTGGCTCCTTTTTGGAGCTTGCTAAGTCAATAGGTTGCCCCTACCTGCTTGACTAGATGTCTCGAAAGGAGCCAAATATACGTCACACATGATGATAGACGATTTTCTGACCGTTTTGTCTGACTGCCGAGGCAGCAGTCCTAAGGGAGGTCAATAAGTCCTGCATTGGCATACTCTGTGACGAGTCAACAGATCTAGCCAATCTTAAACAACTAAGTATTTGTGAAGTATTTGGTCAAAGGCATACCACAGACATACTTTCGGTGGTTAGTTTGCTGAATGGAAAGGCTGAAACTATAGAGCAAAAACTATTGGAAATCTGTCAGACATGCAAAATCTCCCTAATGAAGGTTGCAGGCTTTGGTAGTGATGGGGCAGCGGTGATGGTGGGTAAAACGTCTGGGGTAGCTAAGCTCACAATGGTGAGATGATCTCAATCCACTGCAGTGTCAATGCCACTATTTCCTCCCTGACCCAGCTAAACTCACCCTGGTGTTCATCTACAGAAAATCGATGATGCTCTATGTGATCTTTCTACTCGGTTTGTGTAACTGTCACAGACTCAGACAAACAATATTAACACGTAAGGGAAAAGTGTGTTGACACGCTAGTTGAAATTTTGAACGATCGTTTTTCTTATGTTGGTGTCGTAAATGCTTTTGCATCTGTTTCAGACCCTCAAAAATCAACACAAGTGTATCGATCTCTTCCGGAAAGTGAGTTCAACAACTATGGGGCAAAGGACATTGATGCCATTTGTGAACATTTCTGTGAATCAGTGAAACTTGATACATTCAAGAGGGAGTGGATGACACTAAAGCACACTCTAGTCCAAGACTTCACCTCACCTACAGAGGCGATGCAGACACTTGCTTCTGATGAAACACTCCGTCTATTCCACCTTACTTTTCACAACTCCCTGTTTCGACTGCAGACTGCGAACATGGTTAAACTGTACCAAGGAACAGACTGAAGACTGAAATCTTAGATATGCTAATTCGTATCTCCTCTGAAGGACAAACTATCGCAAACTTTGACTTCGATCATGGAGCATCTGTTTGGGTCTACAAACGAAGTAGAAAAATTCAGATTAAGTTTTTATACATGTGCACAGTACTGTATGCCACAATGCCATTTTTGGCACTATTTCGTGTGGATGTGGCTGAAAAAGTGGGCATGGCCCCAAAATGTTTCCGCACGCTACTGCTACCACCCTCTTTCTAAAGGAAACACTGAAGCAAGCCAGGACAGAAAATGTTACAATGCTGCATAAGTATTTGTCTTTGGCAGCACAGCTGCAGCAGAAGCAGAATGGAATAAGCAAATTACACCTGGACAGCCATAATGTTGCCAATATAAGCCTCATGTGTGCGGCCTCGTCATCTTAGACCAAACTTGTTAGCCTGCTTCACGATCATGCATTCCCTACGCTGGCTACAATGACCAAGCTGCCTGCCTGATGCATACACGGGACATCAACAGTAACGGTTGTTGGTTACTCAGTAGCATGACTTTTTGGTCTTTTTCAAGCTGTAAGTCCTGACATTGTAATGTTGAATGTTTAATACTTCACCTCGGCAACAACATAGGGATTGTGTGATGGGATTGGGGGTGTTAGCATGCTCAAATCTGTCCATTAACCATGTTTCATGTATCCCATCCCTATCTTGTCTGCCTTTCTTTTTATACCATCCCTTTTTTTTAATTCGCAGGATTATTAATTTACTTGCCTCCACTCAATGTATATCTCTGTGAAAGGGGGGCAAGCACTCTATAAAAATCAAATAGAGAAAAATGTCTGTTGTCGTCATGGAAATACACATGTGTACCAAGCCATGTGTGCTACAAGCAAGTTTGGAGAGGCTTGAAGCTATTTGTTGTTGTTCAAATAATATGTGGTCGACATGGAAACGATGTAATACGCATGCGTACCAAGTTTCATCTCCATGCATGCTACTGTTAGCAAGTTAGAGGAGTGAAGAAGTAATTTTAATGAAAAGTGTATTTGTCATTGTTTACAAACATGTAGTTGTCATGGAAACATGTGGTTGTCATGGAAATGATGTAATATGCAAGTTTCATCTCTATACGTGCTACGATTATGAAGTGAAGAAGTCAATTTGAAGAAAAGTGCATGAGGCTATACAAACATGTATTGTAGTGATTTTGATGTTGGTGAATGAATACATTATGTGTACAAAGTTTCGTTCACATACCTCTTACAATATGCAAGTTACACTGATACATGTGATTTGTTGTTTACAAACAAATAAGTATGACCAGTCTGTTCGGGTGACGGATATCTACATTCTTACTAAATTTAATAACTATAATGTTATTTCGTTTTTGAGTTATGCGAGTTCAATCTGAAGAAGAAGAAGAAGGAACATGTCCATCCCTATACACTAAGTACTACCATACATAGTGAAAAACGGAAGGTTATAGATGATAGGGTGGACCAGTAGCCATCTGGACTATATCCCGTCGTCAACCGGGGGCTTAAGGGCTCCTGGTTCGACCACTGACCCACCCATAGAGAGAAGATGGACAAGTGATGCAGGCAAAAAACTTCATTGGCATGCAAGAACTTTAATAATTGATTCAAAAGGTGAGTATAATCCATGATTCAAATGGATGAGCATTATGGTGCTGGCAACCAAACATCAAAGGTAGTCTGCCTGGATTCACACACTTGCCCCAAAACAATGTCGCATTTGCCCATGTGACAAAGGCCCACTTTCGGCTTATGTATGGGTGTGAGGTACGGAAAAACAACAAGACACTTACATATAGGTATCCGACTCCGGAACAGGATTGCCACTTTTGTGAAAGTAGACTGATGAGGGTTTCAATGATTATTGAGGTTGGTGTTCTCGAATAACATTTGCCCAATTGACAAAGGAGTTAAGAACACGAAGTTGTATGGTAATCATAGTTGTTCCCAGCTGTGCGTGCACTTATAGAACTGAAAAACGTTACCATAGGGCTTGGTATGTTTGGGTGTCTGTGTCCAGGTGCCTCAAATAACTCCAGAATATCTAGTTATGTAGCTATGCCCAGTGTCCTGGGTATGTGGTCAATGGCTGTAACGCTATGGCTGCTATGAAGGTAAAATATGTTTCACACTATCTCTTGTTTAATGAATATTCATGCACAAGACCTTCAGGAGTGAAAAATACTTCGCCATTAGGGTAATTGCTTTCGATGTATTTTACCAAGCATCATAGGGCATTGTGTTAAGAATTGGCTGTGTTCCGTGACAAACAATGGCACAGAACAAGGCACAGGCATTATCAATTTTGAAAACCATGCCCTATGACGCTAGGTAGAATGTGCAAACACCAATTGCACATAATGGCAAAGTAAAGTTCTCTTCTGGAGTTGTCGTGCACAGATTTTCATTCCAAAAAAGAAAGTACATATGGAACAGTGCTTATGATAAGGCATAAAAATAAGGTATGTTTTCCACAACACTATGGTAGCATTCCAGATGCAATTGAAAGCGATGATTACCACACCCCTTTGTTGAACCTATAATAAACATAGCCGCAAAATAAAACATATGATGTTTGTGTATGGGAGTTGCATATACTGACGGGCATGGGTTTAGCGGTCGGGTGGGTATAACATGCTCGCCGAGGGTTAAAAATATGTCGCAATGAGGCCGAATTGGTGGTCTGTGCTAGAGGGGAATGACGGAACTTGCTAGCATTCGATGCAGCTAAAATGAAAAGCACTAAAGTTCAAACCCTCGGCGAACTGCGCATGCGATTGGCTGGGCTATTACTCGTGGTCTTCGCTAAGTAGCTCACGGAGAGTCTGACACGGGACTAGCTACAGCAGTAGATAGCATGCGGGAGATGATACACACCCTTCGTTGTGACTTCTTGTGCCTTCAAGATACACCGAGCAAGCGGACCCAGTTGAGGTAAGCCTGTGCTAATTAGCAATTGGCTCATTCACTTTAGAACGCAGTATTTTTAGGAAAATCGCCATTTTTAAAGAGAAGCCAGTGTAGCACTGAACCCGTTGGTGTCGTTTGTTGGCCTGTTTGTTGCGCGTGGTGGCAGAAAACGTGGTAACAGACGGACAGACAGACAGACAGACAGAGTATTGTAACCCTTGCTGTGCGTGTGTGCCGAGGGTTAATAAAAATGCCCAAAACAGAACGTCATTTAACAACCTGGTGTCGCCAAATTTCATTACCTGTATGGTAAAGTTCCGAGTTGTTACATAGAGAGTGATTAGTATTAGAATTTCACTCACCTTCGCCATATTGTAATAAGCAAGGCAGACAAGAGCAGAGAAGGGGAGCACTCTTATACAATTAGCACCATTTCCAGCAAACAAACCTCTCCATCTTTCATTACTCCATATTTTGCTAAGCACACCACTAACGCTTAGCTGAGTCTCCCGAGTAGTTTGAGTCTGAAAGAATGAGATTAATAATATTATGAGTAATCTGAAGTAGCCTCAGAACTTAGGCGATTCCGTTCGTGCGGCGTATTAGTAGTACGCATGAAAATGTACAGAATAAATTGTGCGTGAGCAATATCCGCGAAGAACGGGGGAAGGTCTGGGCTCAAACATCACGTGGGGGTAGACACTGGGTGTAGGCACTGCCCTCGCAGAATTACAATATTATGCTCTGAAACGGCAGCTAATAGGTGAAATGGTAGCTGCTTTCCTTTACAGAGCACCAAGCAAGATTTCCTGAGTGTTCCTGGTATCTGTAGCCACACAAATGGGCTACTATTTCAGGTTGTATGCTACAGTGTATACCCAGCGTATACTCTTACATGATGCTCGAACCCAGGCCTTCCTTCCTCTTCATGGGTATCGTGTACATCTATTCCCACGTGAATGCGTAAGGCCTGGGTTTCAAGGTAAATCTGAAGACTACCTAGTCCTCAGAATGTGGGATTTTCTATTACTCAGGTTTGATTTTTTGGTTATTATGCATCACTATGGTTACAGGGATCATTACCTGTACGGTATAGAACAAGAGCTTCCACTACTCATATACCACTGTAATCGGCAATAAGCAATTACTACACAAATTCGTTAGTTCATCTCTATGCAGAACTTGCTCTGTTATATTACTGGCAGGTATTTACATCCGTTTATTTGCTAAGAGATATACCTTGCACATTCTACTTACTCGCCAAACTTAAATACCTGAGCAATAATCTTGGCCTTTTCAAGAGGAGCGGTGAAGGTTCTAGACACTATACCTGCAACACCTCCAGCTACCAGAGCTTTCCAAATTTCCACTGAACATGGAGGTAACGCTGGAGGTGCTAGGTCAGACCCTGACAAAAACATCACATAAAGTGTTAGAGCAAACCTGCAATATCTAGAAAACGTGCATGAACAATGTGATGCCTGTCATGTACGTATGTAGCCTTTACCCTTGCATCAAATGCACTAGCCTACACTCACCAATCACATCATCAAAAACTGTGCATTAAACAGCTTAATGTACACACGAGTGTGCAATAACATAATAATGCACACTTTTATTGACAGGTAACTGTGCTTTCACACTCAGTCGCCAATACATGCGTGCGTTGTCAGGAGAGAGGTCTACGGTGCTGTATGTGACTTACTGAGAAGGCGGAAAACGTCGCCACTCAGGCATGCGAAACAGGCGGTGCATAGAGCTTAGCCACAATACGACTGGCAAACTGTCTCTGTTCCAAAACTTGTAACACTAATGTAGTCACTCCTGACAGGTGCTACTAAAGCGGTTAACAGGGACACACAAGGCTCTAGAGTGTCTAACTGGCAGGAGCAGGGGCAGGAAGGGACACCCTTTAAAGTTTGTTATGAATATTGCTTAATGCACTGAAAAGTGTGCATTAAGTAGTTAATGCATGGGAAAGTGTGCATTATCTGTTGTAAGTGTGCAATATATGCTGTAAGAGTTACATATACAGCTTCATAGCTAATGGAAAAGAAGAGCTGTCCATTTTTGGTTGTTGGTAGGAAGTATATCAGAAGCTCACACATCATACTTATTCCACCAAGATTGGGTCACAATGAACGTCCAGTGTTGCAAGCTTGTAGCAAAGTTTATTGCAACCAACCCCGCTTCATGCCTTTTTGTTCACTGCCATTGCCGAAACATTTAGCTTGCAATTATTCGAGCTGATAATATGTCTACTGTACCTTCAATACTTGTGAAATATTTCTACTATTCCCCGCCTATAGTTTCATAATCTCGAACAGAGTTCTAAGTTTTTCAACTCTGATCATAGATTAAAGGCGGGCTAAATTTAGAAATGTTACTAAACCAAAATTAATTGCATTCTTTCAGTGTGTCCCTAGCCCTATTGTTTTGTTCCATCTCTAAATTCAGCCCGTATATACTGCCACATTCCTTTAACCATATTAGGTTGTTAAACTTTGTGTCTAAACTTGACCACCTTAGCAAGCAAAACACCCACTAGCCATGCGAGAAAGTTTACTATCAGCTAAAACACTTGAGACAAATTGACATAGTATACCCTCATATTTAGTGTATACCCAAAAACTATAACACCCTTGTTTCAAAAGTCCTTGTCCCGTTCTAGTTCAAACTTGGACGTGTAATAGGCGTTCTAAAGCAAAAGTACCATCCTCCAAAACATTAGGTGAGAATCGTGGTCAGCTTGAATTTGTTCTATAGCGAAGTCGGTTTCTGTCCACACAATGAAGTCACTGCTATTGCACTTGGCATAAGGCCATCTGCAGCTGAACCTCACTCTTGGGAATGGTCTCAGGAGCTTCCGTCCACTCTACTATGCAGTAAGGATCTGCTTCTAGCACAAAAGAAGTGATTTTAGCCTCGTATCTAGCTTGAGACTCGGCTGTGTATGGAACACCAAACCTACCAAAATTAAAATGCACTCCACCTACTTCGGCACGTCGTAAGTCGGCTTTGGAATGCCCACACTGACTGCGAAGTCGGATTCAAACCGACCTCGACACCCAAGCCGACTTCAAAAGTTTGTGTGAACTTGGAAACTCAAAAACTCACACCGACTTCGCTGCTCAAGCCGACTCATGTTCATCCTGATTTCAAAACTCAAGCCGACTTCCGGCAGTCTGAAGTCGACTTCAACTTTTCTTGGCGGCATGAACTGTTGAGGCAAAACTCGTGTCAACGACTAGCCGGGACTTCGAAGTCAGGATTAACATGAAGTCGGCTTGAGCAGCGAAGTCGGTGTGAGTTTTTGAGTTTCCATGTGGACGTTAACTTTTGAAGTTGGATTGAGTTTTCAAGTCAGCGCTTAACGTTGCGAAGTCGGCTTGGTTGTCCAAGTCGGTTTGAACCCGACTTCGAAGTCGGGTGGAGTGCATTTTAATTTTGGTAGGTTTGGCGTTCCATAGCCATAAAATATTCAGATTTCACCACCGCGGAGCAATTGCCTTCCAACATGGTGGATAGCAACGTCGCTAAGGGCCACACCCCCTCTATAGCCATGCAACTGAACATCTTCCAAACCTTTGAGTATGCACTGACCTGTATCAATTGACAGTCCAGATGCCCATCTTTCTAACACAGCTCTAGTGCTCGGTGACGGAAGGGAACAAAAGTAGTTACAAAATTCTTTGAAATCGATTTGCTCATTTTTATCTGTGTCGACTCTTGTCAACAAGCTCCGCACTTCCCTATCTGTCGCCTTATAACCCAGAGTTATAAAAGCTCGCTGCAATTCTTTCCAATCAATTTCCCCGCTCCTGTCTGTATCGATTTCATCAAACACTTTCTTAAGACGTGTAGAGTAAAAACAGCAAAATTCCTCAAAATTTAGTTCGCCATCACCGGAGGAATCAGAGCAAATAAAATCGTGGAGTTCCTCAGTAGTAACCGTCATGGAGAGTTCACGACAAGCCTTGGTAAACTCGTTAATCGATATAAAACCACTCTTGTCCTCATCAATTCCGTTAAACACATCCTGCAGACGATCCAAAGCTTCCAGTCCAAGCAAATCCACGCCCATACTAAACCAGACTATATAGCCAAGTGAGACCCCGCCCTCTAAAGAGGACTGTTTCAGCTCACTGAGCTTTCTTAGTTACATGCGACTAGCGAGTATATAGTCTCGTACCAAGCGAACCAGCCGCGTAGTATCAGAACCCCATTGCTATATACCTTTTGACCCGCGGGTCAGTGGGAGGGCCTGTCACACGAAAATTGGTCGGTCCCCCCCAAATGCGGTCCCCCCAATACTTCCGCGGCAGAAACATTGCCCCCCCACCCCGTATTGGTACAAGTAAGCTGCCTATAAGCCCTCGCTATAATAGTACACTGGCTCACTGCTATCAACCAGCAATTGGTCGTCGATCTGCCCCGCCCCTTCTTTCTGCGCTGCTCGTGTGCTTAGCTAGGATAGATTTATTTTTGTGAACATTTATTACAAAACCATTCGGAATCTAATTTTTTCCACACAAGGCTATTTACAAATTGTGAAACCATTCACTGCAGGTATTACACTGAATAATTTTTCCACCCTCCGGTTGCCGGCAAACACAGTAGATGTTAAAATATTCAGTTCTCGCCCTCTTTGCTTTTGTTTATTCTCCTTCTTAGTGTCTGAGGCAAATCTGTGAGATTCTGTTCTCTTGTAGGCAGTTCTTGAGATGGATCCGTAGCTGGTGTTGTACGAAGTTTATCTCAGTAGGGTCCTTCCCTGCAGTTGCGAAGGCAACAGCGAAAAACCCCACAGTCGGAATTTCCATACTGCACTTGCACTTGCTTAAACTGGAGTTGGATATCGTTTTTCTCACTGAATAGTATGGCTGCGATTTGCTCCTTCGTGCGAGAGGAGTTGGGGATGCTGTCAAAAACATTGACCGTTCCAGGCTATTTTGAAATAGTTGGACACATTCAGGATTTGCACAAACTCTCCACTTTGAATAGTAAATGCAAGAGTTTGGCCCAGTGATACTGACTCTAACCCTCCAATGTAGGGGTATGCATCCCTTAGCAAAGCCTATGATATTGTCTGTTAGCCACTTTCCATGACTAAGAGACTGCTTGTCTGCTTCATATAACTGAAGCTAAGCCAGTATGTAATTGGCTTACCAGCATTAACAGTTGATGTCAAATCAATGCATTCCGCAAGTCATGAGAAAGGAATATATTATATAAACAACCACAAACCTTGCTTTATGTCTTGCACATCTGTGAGCCTATTAATTTGCCGACGCTTAGCATCTTTGACTGCAGCAAATGTCATTTTCCTTTTCCTTGGTTTGTCATCTTTTACTGCCACATCATTGGTTCTTTGCTTGGCCTTGTTAAAGATTTTATTTTGGATGTTTGGGAGCTAAGAAAGGTTATGTTATACGGCCGCGTACAACAAACCCAGTCTCAGATTGCGTCTGGGGAGCTGCAGGGTGTCGCTGGTGGAAGGGGTGAGTTGAGGTGTCTGGGAGGTGAGACAGACACCTCATGTTCATATGGTGTATGTTCGTATCTTAACGGTTCCGCCCATTGCTCTGGGTGCGTGGTCTATGGCCCTAGTGCTATGGCAGCCACCTGAGTATTATTATTACTGCCACATCAATTTCCTCAACATATGCAGCATGCAAAGCAGAAGTTGGTGTTTTGGAAATAGGAGAAAGTGATATATCAAACCTTACCTGCCAGGAAAGCAGAAAGCGAGATAGCTCTATTATAATATATACATACCTCAACCCCATCCTTCTTCTTGTAATACATGACTCCATTTTTAACCATGAACTTTTCTGCCTTCTTCCGGTTACATCTCTTTTTCATTTTTGGTAGATCCTTCAGGGTAGGTCTTCTCTGTCAAAAATACGAAAGCTCTCTGAATAAATTCTTCCTCCATTCCTCAAGCCCACAGACTGCAGGAGAGTCCTATCAATAGATGCCGATGAGCCCTGGAAAGTTCCCGATGATCCGTCGATGAGTCCTGGTGAGTTCCTGATGATCCGTGGATGAGTCCTGGTGAGTTCCTGATGATCCATCTGGAGAGTTGCTTTCTTTTGCTGATTCCGCGTTCGCAATAACTGTGACTGATGCGAAAGTGCGCTTCCTTCGCTCTTTTTATGCCACTAAGGTAGCACGGGGTGGCAGAGTGGACAATACGTCCCCAGACAGGGCCAGAGAAGAGATGTGCCTGGGCGGGGCCAGAACGGAAATACGTGCTCTGGCGGGGCTAGAGTGGATAATAGGTGCCCAGGCAGGGCCAGAGAAGAGATGTGCTCAGGCTCGGCCAGAATGGAGATATGTGCCCTGGCGGTGCTGGAGTCGGAAAGACATGCCCAGGTGGGACCAGAGGTGGAGATATCCTCCCTAGCGGGGCGGGAGTTAGTGGGAATAGCCCAGACAGTGTGACACAGGAGAGAACGGGGCCCAGGCATGGCCAGGAGAGGACGCAGAGGCAGGCCCAGGCGGGGCCGGTGCGATAAAGGTTCCAACCAAGGTGGGGCTAGGCAATTGTGGGGACATGCAGGGGGCCAGCAAGGAAATTCTGACCGTGGATACGGGGCCCAGAGGGGCAGCTGTAGGGGGCGTTGGAGTTTGCAGAGAGCGGGAGTCAGCATGGGGTCGGTACCGACGACAGGTGTTGGACACAGGACTACCTCTCTCATGTTTCTCAGGTACCCGACTGGGTGAGGAAGTGGATGGGGGTGCCATCGTGGACCTAAACTCACTGAGTTTTGGGTGCAACAGAGAATAGTGCTTGTGAGAAAAGTCCCCCCAGCAGTCAACAGCAGGGGAAGGAGCTAGCGGTGGCAAGGGGGATGGTTTGGAAGAGTCAGCTCCCTTTATCCCGGGAGAGTCATTGCCTGTTATCCCAACAACGCTGTTGAAGAAGATTCTCAAAGGAGACATGTCAGACCCCCTGAAGGATAACCTTGAAGCTGAGCGACGTCGCTACTCAGGAGAATGAGAACAGTCGTTTGTCCTTTGCGCAACCCCCATGTTACAAGAGGGAAGTCCCAGACATGCTGAGCTGGCTGTTGCTTCAGTCACTACACGGCTGTGGTCACTAGCAAATACCCACACAAGGCACGGGAGCTGTGGGCCTATTAGGCCAAGTTGGCCTCAGAGCAACATCGCTGTGGAGGTGGAGGATGGCTCCTCTATGATTGTGGTGCAGATATAGTCGTTGAAGGCGACGAATTTCTCTAAGATCAACAACACCACAACATTCCTGGCGTATAGGGGGAAGAGACCAGTTCTGCTACCACTGCCTGGTCTCTGACCATGTGCAGGAAGACGGTGCCTTGAACCAACAGCGAGCAGTTCACGTGATGAATGGAAATTCAGGCCAGGGGAGATGCACAGCAAAAGGCCTCGGAAGGGGGTGTGCTTCGCATGGAATGGCACAGAATTGCCGGTTTGAACACATGTGCTCCAAGTGGTTTGGCGACCACAGAAGATCAGCATGTAGGTCCGACCAAGACCAAGGAAAGGGTACTGAGGATCAGCGCTCCACTCGCTGAAGAACTCTGGAGTTGTATATTGAGACGAGAGTGTAGGCCACATGGTTTTTTTTGTTCGTTATGATAGCTATATGGATATCCAGCCGTATTAATCATAGTTCAAGTAGCGTGGTTAGATTTACCAGCAGTTGCGACCCAAGTACCGATGGGCGTTTTCGTTCCTACACAGCTGGAGAGGCGTCAGACTTGGGCGGGGGGTATCCTTACGCAAGGGATCTGGTAGAGCTGCAGGGAAGGAAACGAAAGGAGGCAGTGAGGGTCCCAGCTGGGGCTGCCAGTGTTCAGACCCCCTTAAAACCCAGGAGTGGGAAGAGTGGTTTCGTCCCCACCCTAACAGAGTATATGCACAGTATATACGTGTTGCAGGGTCTGAAGGCAGCGCAGTTTTGAACCACAAGGTTTTGCCACTTGTATGTGCTAACCATGCACAGACATTCGTCCCCACTCCTGCTGGTCAAGGTCAGCACCGAGCCAAACCCGAATTCACAATACTGGCATAGCCGCGGCAATGAAGCCAGTAAGTGCATACATATGTAGAAAATACCATGTGATGCCAAGAGAAAAAGATGCCGAGCTCTGTTGGCCCTCATCAGCAGAGCGTACCACAACTTCTCTCTCTGTCATCACGAATTTATAAAGGCTGCCATGAGCGCAGCACTTGTGGTTTTGAACTAATGAGATTCATCCCCACAAGGCATTGCTCAGGCTACTTGGACTGGAGCGCAGATCCTCACAAGGCTTTGCCACTGGTATGTGCTGACCATACACAAGTCATAAAAAACGTGTAGAGAGTGAAGCCTAGCTGTACAGTACAGAACTATAAAGGCTGGTGGATACATTGTAGAATTCACTTGTTGAAGTCGAATAAGACAGATACACTTAATTATTATTAGAGGCAAGAAAGAGTGACTGACACTCCCAGGTACAACATCATGAGCCACCGAACACAAGCTGAGGGTAATCAGCCCCAAAGAGGTACCCTTCTCACCATCGAATTAGAACAAATACGACCCATGGATATTGCGTTTACTGGATATTTGACTTTCCTCCCACGTGGATAGCTCACACCACCGCCTCAGTCGATGTCGTTTGTGTGACAGACAAGCATCATTGAGTTGAGTTGCAAATGCCGCAAATTTGTGGTTGAGACACCATAAGCCTCCCGCTGATTCTGCTTCGTAAAAAAACCGTGCGAATGCGCAGAAAAATATTCCAAAATCATGCAGAGATGCTCAAAAAATATACGTAAAATACTGAAGAATGACGTTCCAATGCCTAGAAAAAACGTGGACCAGTGAATAAAGAAAGAACAACACATAAAATGAGAGGGGCAAAACGTCCGTGAAGAAGAAACAAAAAGAGGGTCAGTCTGCAGAAAACACATGGAGGTGTTGTGCAAACACAGTTAAACCTGAGAATGAGAACAAATCCGTGGCGCAAACGACGCAAACGACGAAAAACGTGCGAATGTGCGCAAAATGTTCCAAAGGACTTGATGACCAACAATGAAAGAACGGTACAAATCTCCAAATGGCATGTTGTAGTGTAATAGAAAACATGTGCAATAGAGAGAAAAACATTTCCATCATGTGGAGTAGTTGCGCAAACGCAGAAGATACGTGGAGCAGGTGCGTAAACTGTGAAAGACGTGCGCATGCGAGGGAAAAACGTGTAACCTTCTAAACCACGTGGAGCAGTGAGAA